TCCTTCCGGGGAGTGGCTGGTGGGTTTGAACCACCAGCCTCCTGGTTAGCAGTCAAGTGCCTTAGCCACTATGCTACCAGAGCTCCCTACCACCTCAGAAATCCAAGGAGGGGTCGCTATGAGTTGGATCTGACTCTATGGCAGTGGTTGCATTGTATGGTTTTTATAGAAAACATGCATATAAAAACACTGGAAAAGAATACAAAATATCATTGATTATAGTCTCTCTATGGCCAAATCCAATATGAGGTCTGTTTTTGCAAGTTAAGAAATGCTTTTATATTTTTAAAGATTGAAAAAAAATTTTTTTCTATAGAGATTGTATATGGCTTGCAAATCCTAGCTGATCATTTATAAAAAGAGTTTGCTGACCCTCATTTATAGGGTAGTAGGATTATGGGTGACCTTTTCTTCTTTTATTTATTTTTATTTTCAAAACTTTCTATAATGAACATGTATTTCTTCACTATTATATTAAAAAAAAAAAAAAAAAAAGAAAAACCCCCAAAACCCAAAACCCAACTCACTGCTATTGAGTAGGTTCGGACTCATAGTGACCCTCACTGGGTTTTGAAGGCTGTAAATCTTTATGGAAGTAGACTGCCTCATCTTTCTTCCATGGAGAGGCTGGTGGGTTTGAACCACCAACCTTTTTGGTTAGCAGCCAAATGCCTAACCACTATACCATCAGAGCTCGTTACTTTTATACTAGTCAAAAAAGAAAAACAACACAAAAAACTTTGTGAATCATAATTGTTATGCTTGAAAGGTTAATTTTTTTTAGTTTTTACTGACATAGCAACTGAAGGCTATAAGGTCTTTTCCAAGAGTTTGGAAGTATGCACAGTGGTGGAAAAAGCAGACAAGATTCTTGATCTCATGGAACTGAGAAGGGCTGGGGAGACAACAAATGAGTAAATAAATGAGAATAGCTGAAAATCCATAATCTGAATCTCATCACAAGGAAACAATTAGACAAACTTAAAATGCAGGAACATTCTACAAAATAGGTAGTCTATGTTCTTCTAAAGTGATAATGCACAGAAACAAAAAAAGGCCTACGAACTGTTTCAGGTTAAAGGAGACTAAAGCGACCTCACATGGACTGGATACCAGAGTGGTATCCAGATGCTATTAAAGACACTACTGGGATGACTGGTGAAAATGAACATGGACAGGGTATTAGGTAAAAACTACTATTTCAGTGTTAAATTTCTTGAATATAATAATTGTGTTGTGGTTACGTAAGAGAATTCTGTTGTTCATACATACTGAAGTATTTAAAGAATCATGACATCTGCAATTTATTCTCAAATGGTTCAAGGAAAAAAAAAACAAGTGTGTAAGTAAATGTGAGTATAGAGAGAGAGAGAAAGAAAATGCATGTGCCCAGTAAATAATAAAGCAAATGTGGAGATGCCAAGTTTGCAAATCTGGTTGAAGGGTACAACTGAGTTCAGTTTTAACAACTTTTCTGTAAGTTCAATTCTTTTGTCCCAAAATAAAATGCAAAGTAAGTAAAAAAAAAACAGCAACACATACTAAATATCTGTATGTTGAGAATCAAGGGCCGGAGCCCTGGCCTTCCATCAGATGACCTTTTGGTGCCATACCCAGATGCACATCAACTAGGTTCCATGCCAGCTGACAGGCCTGTGAGCATGGATATTGTCAGAGCAAGGGCAGGCTTCCACTGCCCTTTTAATTCTCTTTTTAATTTCAAATGGACAGACCACAGAGGTCATACTATTATGTTTAAGTAAAAAAGCTGCACAGAAATGATGGCCTTATGTTTCCTTCTAAATCTATAGGTTACTAAGTTAAATCTTATTTCCCCTAACACTAGCTACAACACTTCTTTGAGGTTTTCTCCTTAATGTAAAGGAATGGGGGCCATCAGGTGTGACTATCACACGCACCCCTTCTCTATTCTCAGATATTATGTCAGTACAAACCAAATCCACTACCACTAAGTCAATTCTGACTCACAGCAACCCCACAGGGTTTCCAAAGCTGTAAATCTTTATGGAATTAGATTGTCTCATGTTCCTCCTGCAGAGCAGTTGGTGGGTTTGAACTGCTGACCTTCCGGTTAGCAGCCAAATGCCTTACCAACTATACCACCATAGCTCCTTATGTCAGTCAATATTGACTTTTATTTTTTAAATTGAGATTAAAATTTATCCACCATAAAATTTACTCTTAAAGAATACTTACAAGGTTGTGCAACTATCATCACCACTATCTAATTCTAGAACATTTTCTTTACCCCAAGAAGACATCTTTCCAGTTCCAGTTCATGGCAACCATTAACTTATTTTCTGTCTCTACAAATTTACCTGTTCTGGACATTTTATATAAATTACTTATATAATAATAATAATAATTTTATATAAATTACTTATATAATAATAATGATAATAATAATAATGTTGCACTGAATGGTCTCAGGATCCAAAATGCCTATTGGAATGAAAAGGACCAAATCTGTCCCTAGGCCAGGATGTACAGCAAAGCCAGGTGTCTAGGGAAGAGAAGGAAAATATATCAATAAACATCCTCAGTTCATTATTTTATAAGGAAATGCCAACGTTTCCAGGTCCGTTTTCTCTCTATTGAGAGAAACATGTAAGTGGGCAAACATCTGTCTACATACCTGGGCTCTCTGGGAAGCTGGCTTATATTTAGTCTTTCCCATGCTTTTGGTTCCAACTGATTTGAAAAATATACTAACACTTTGGAAGGAGGTACTTACATGGAATGTGTGAAATAGATGTAGTAACAAATATGGATGTGATCTTTTACTGGATTAGCACCTGATGGCTGAGGAACTGGATAAAAAAGTAACAGAAAAGTCTTGCTGTGCTGGGAGCCACACTGACTTTTCTGCTTTTGCAAAACCATACATCTATCCCATGGTTTAAAACTTCAGCACCATCATCTAGTTCTTTAATTTCCTTCACAGGATAACCAACCATGTCCAACATGTACTTAAAAAACTTTATACTGCTTCTAAAACTTAAAAAAAAAAAAAAGACGAATGTTCCACCCCAAAGTAGTCTCTAATGCACATACTGCCATAATCAAATCAATCTCCTATAAACAAAGGCCTACCGGATCAGGGTGTTCCCAATCTGGTGTCGTATTTCATTCCACTCCTCTTTGCTTTTTCGGGGCCATGAATTCAGGTTCAATTCTGGTTCACTGGGTCTGTGGTTCAACTTCATTGCCAGTGTGTCTTTCCTCTTCACTTTGTTGGCCAGAGCACCTTTGCACAAGAGGAAAATGTAGAAACTTGAGGCTTAAAGCCAAAGGCTCAACCACACCTGGAGCCAGGTAAGAGCTTGAACAAGAATCATTCCCCACTTGGGCCTCAAAGGATCCAGTCAAACATAGCGTTGAGAGGTAAGTTGAAGATATCTAAAAATCTTTTAAGCCCGACGCTCATTTGGGCAAACTTTATCTTCTCTCTTCTTACCTCCCTCTGTATTTTCTTCCTTAGGGTTGTTAGGGGAGAGATCACCTAAGAATGGGATTGCTGTTATTTGCCATTGAGTCGGCCCCAACTCATAGCAACCCCTCCTTGGGTTTCCGAGGCAGTATCACTACGGAAGTAGGATTGCCCAACCTTCCTTCCGAGGAATGGCTGGTGGGTTTGAACCGCCAGACTTTTGGTTAGCAGTCAAATGCCTTAGGCACTATGCTACCAGAGCCCTCTAAATTAAAACATAATGGTCTTTTGCACTAACACACCTCATAATGTACCTGTTTTTAAAGTTGCTTTCTCATTTTCAGGAACCAGGAGTGTAGTATTCATAGAGATTTGTGTGCATTGGTACATGAGCATTTTTTCTTTGCCCCATTAACATAAGCTCATTAGACTGAAAGAAAGCATCACTTTTCTTTTTTCAATACAGCCTGTGTGCCACCTTTCCTCTACTCCATATTCTTTAATACCATCAAGATGAATAGCTTTTTAGTTTTAAAGAAACAAACAACCTACTCGGCTCCCTCTCATTGGCTAGTTATAACAGAAAGGTAACAGCAGGGACAAGGAGTCCTTCACAGTGGCTTCTAAAACCAGCCAGCCATTTGGCTTGCTAAAAGAGGGTGTCCTGTTTCTATTCATTTTATACTTGCTAAGAACAGCAAGTAGCTTCACCTGGAAAAGAACTTTCTCTTTTGCTTTTCCCTCCCTTTCTTACTGTGTTGGCTTTCATCTTCATCCTCTTCTTCATCTCGGTACCGAATGGGACCCTCTGAGTCAGAGTCACTCTCCTTCTCTTCTTCCTCCTCCTGCAGACACTGTGGTAGTTTAGGAATGACTGAGGTAGGTGCCATGTCTTCAGTGAATGCAGATGGGTGGGTTTGCTCCTCTTCTTCATCGTCTGGACTAACAAATTAACACAATTATATTTTCTTTCCAGAAATAAAGGGATTTCCAAGGCAAATGACTAGAGAACTATGGGAAAATTCATGAATAAAATAATTTATCAATTCCTCACTTAAGTTTAACAATTTTTTTTTTTTTTTAGCAACTATTAACCTAAAGAGCTGTCCTTTGATGATCTTCATGTGAGATGCAAGTTGCTTTGGTTGCTTAAATGAGAAGACTGCAGAGCAACTAACACCATACCTCACTCATGAAAGATAAAAAAAGATACACACATTTAGTCCATTGCCCTTTGATTTAACAACATATTGAGACAAAATGATAACCTAATCCAAGGTAGTAAAGAGAAATTCAAATGGAAACTAACTTTAAATTCCAAAAGTGTCTTTTTTCAAGATGTGTAAGAAGTATAACCAGCAAGTACAGACATCATGACAAAACAAGGAACGTTTGTTTAGATTACTGCAGCAGAAGAATGCTGCAAGTTGTTTTTATGACATTTTGTACTTAGTAATCTTCTACCTATAAAAATGATCATTTTTCAGTCACAATTTTTGTCTGAATCTTAAAAGGGCAGAATATGTGAAAGATTCAATGCTGGGGTGAACAGATTCAGTGTTCAGGAACAGGTAAGAGGGAAAAAGAAGACCAGAGTTCCAGTCGTGGGGGCTGGGATGCTCAACTGCTGTTCAGAAGTCCCTTCTTCCCTCTATACTACCCTTTCTTCTTCTCTACCAAGTCTGTATGGCAGGCACTAGTCCTTTTCGTATTTGTCCTGATTTCATTCTCACAGAAAACCTATTAGTAAAGTATTATTTCCATTTACAGATGAGACAACTAAAGAGCATAAAGGTTAAGAAACTTATTAGACTACCATAAGCTACTAAACAAGTGGTAAATCTGGGATTTGAACCCAGGGCTATATTACTTGCAGGTCAATGTTCTTCAGCACCATATTAGACTGTCCCTTGGGTCATATAAAACTAGTGTTTTTATTTTTCATGTATATAAATTTGCAATTTTTATGTCATCATAGAATTCTATGATGGAAAAAACATTCTAGAAGTAAAAAAGTCTAAATTCTAGAACTTGTCCTAGAATATTCTTTTTACTTTAAGTTTATTCACATTTTCTTTTTGTAATTTCCAAGTAGGGCTACCTAGAGTAAAGGAGGGGAAATAAAAGGCAAGTTTTAAAGGCACTCACACTTTCAGCATCTCAATAGTGATAGGAAGTGACCTGGTCCGACCCAGGGTACTGTTGTCCTCAGAAAAGTTGTCACTGTTCTCAAAGAGCAATGAATGAGCTCTGTGAGAGCCCTCCAGGGGAGGTGTCACGGGCAGTGGGCTTGTCAGGGCCTGCTGGATTCGAATATGCAGTGGGAGTGGGGGCAGCCTAGAGGGTACATGGGGCTCCCCAAAGCTATGCTCCAACATCCACTTGGGTACTTCCTTTTTCTGATGTTCCTGCTGAGGTATCTCTTGGGGTAGATCTACAGAAGGTGGAAACTCAGTTTCTGGCACAACTTGAAAAGTCTTAGAGGGAACCGGAGGGGACCGTGGGGGCTCTGGGGGTACATGAGTAGGCAGCGGGGGAGATGGAGAAGGTGGCGGGATCATCATCAGCGGGACAGAGCCCACAGAGCCCGTACTCTTCTCTCTTTGATCACTTGGTGCTTTTGTGATGGCAGCAGCAGCAGTAGACTCTGAGGTGGGCACCAAGGTTGATGGAATGCCTCTCTTAGGTGGTAAGGGTGGGGATGGTTTTGATAACGTACCACTGTTTATTGCTTGGGACAGTTCAGCTGGAAAAAAGAGCAGTATTTCAATTTAACATGGCTTTACAATCTAGAGCTTGGCTCAGCTTAATCTTTCAGGCAAATTATATCATTTCATGGCTTTGCCATTCCCTAGATATCTCATCCTGAAACAAACTTATTTATCCAGAAAACCTAATAAATGTATAAGGAGTGTATGTAGGAAGATTGCCACCTTAATGCGCCAATGTGAAAACTTTTTAATTCTTTGCTATGACAACAGAGGCAATTATTTATAACTTGATCTTGGTGTAGATGAAGTTAGTATGAACAGAGACAGAAAAATTGGGAATGAAAAGTATTTTGTATAATATTACTCTATAAAAAATTTAACCACGCAGACAGCAATAACAAAACAAATGTTATTCAGCACTGTTATCATATTTTGGTAAATAATGTTATTTAGATACCTCAGCTCTGTATTATGAAGCTATCAATAATGCAATCTTAGACACAGAGCAAAAGCAAAAGCTTCTGAAGAAATCAAAGTGCTTTTCAGTCCTTGACTTCACACTCTCCTTATAACCATCCGAGGTGATCAGGTAGATTAATAATACCTTTACTATTTTACAGAAGGAAAAACTGAGGTCATAGAAGTTGGATGGCTTGCCCATGCCCATCTTTTGCACTGGCATGGACTCAGCCAGCACCTAGGTCTCCTGCTACATTATATTCGGCTTTTGCTCGATCTTCTGGATCCCTCTGTTTTTGATCTTCATTAGCGTCCACACTTCTTTCTGTTCCTTTGCACCCCAACCTCCAGATCCACTTCCGCTACACTAGTGATTCTTGACTGCACGACAATCATCGTCTCCATCAGCATATCCACAGAGCTCTGCATAGGTCTGGCACATCTAATATAGTGGTTAGTAGATGAGAGGCTCCTGTCCAGTATTATACTATATATTCTCCAAAACCCACCCTGACTGAGGTGCTGAATCACCAAAGTCCCTCTGACACACCAAAAGGTCTATAAGAAGTGGGCCATCACATGGTGCAGGGGCCAACCTTGCAAAATAATTTTATAGTAGTTTCTTTGATCCCAATTGCTAACTCTCCATCCAAACCTCTTATTTTGGTCTACCTGGTGTCCCCAAATGGTCCCATGTCTTTCCTAGATAAGAACACTTCAAGTTTCCATGAAATAAAAATTTACTTGTCTAAATCACATTCCCTTGGGGATATTCAAAGTAAAAGACTAGCTAATCTGATAATGTTTTAATGTTAATCATCACTAAGAAAATTTTATAAAGGACTTTATAGAAGAATATTGCAAACGAACCAAAAAAACAAACCCATTGCCAGCGAGTCAAATTCTATCATAGTGACCCTATTGGACAGCGTAGAAATGCCCCATACGATTTCTAAGGCTGTAAATCTTTACAGAAGCAGATTGTCTTATCTTTCTCCTGCAGAACAGCTGGTGGGTTCAAACCACTGCTGATCTTTTTGGTTAGCAGTCTAATCCTTTAACCAGTGTCACCAGAGCTTCTATATTGCAAACACACACCACATACACAAATTTTACAGCAAATTTTTAGGATCAATAAAAGAGGTATTTTGGGGTAGATTACACTTTCACTGCCTCTCTAAAAATAGCAGTTAACTATTCCATCTATGGGAGCTCTGGCAACGTAGTGCCTAAGGCATTTGACTGCTAACCAGAAGGCTGGCGGTTCAAACCCACCAGTCACTCCTCAGAAGGAAGGTTGGGCAATCTACTTCCATAGTGATACTGCCTTGGAAACCCAAGGAGAGGTCACTAAGAGTTGGATCCGACCCCATGGCAGTGTTTGATTTGGTTTGGTTTATTCCATCTATAAAACAAAATTATCCTTGACAACACCATGTTTCTGTATTCTAACTTCTGAGCTATTAAGAGGCATACACCTCAAGCTGTCAAGGAAGTAAACTCTGGTAGACATGTACTGACGACAGCATCAGGCTATAGTTCTGTGGAAAAAATGGCAGAATGTTCCTGGTTGGGATTTCAAATTCCCTTCACTTTCACTTACTCATCTATTAACAGTAGTCCTTCCTCAGTCTTAATATTCTATGTAATGCCTGTTAGGAGACAGCAGCACTGTCTAAAGCGTGGTTCCCAAACTCTTGGACTTGATGGTCTAATACAATAAATTTTTTTTTCTCAAACAACCTCAGGTTGTCAGTTATTAGTATTTCCAAGTAAGGTCTTCTATGAAATAAACCACCTATGATCATCATCCTTTCATGAAAGACAGCGTTTTAACACTAAAGAATTAAGAAAGTCATAATTTCAGACTAAAAGATATTTCCTTAGATCAAATCTATTTAACTTGAATGAAAATTTTGTGAACTGTCCTATTGTTTTCCTTCTGCTAAAGATCAGTCATGGACTGATATTGATACATTCAGTCACAGAACTTACCGCTTCTGCAATTTAATCCAAGCTATTTTCCATGTGTTAGCATTCTATATATGTACTTTACCTTGAAAAAGGTGGGGAACCACTGGCTAGAAGTAGTTCCCAATGTATAGTCCCCAAACTAGCAGCATCAGCATCATCTAGGAACTTGCTATAAATGCAAATTTTAAGGCCCTATCCCACACGTAAGGAGTCCTGGTGGCAGAGTGGTTAAGGCTCGGTTGCTAACCAAAAGGTCTATGGTTTGAACCTACCAGCTGGTCTGTGAGAGAAAGATGTGGCAGTCTGCTTCTGAAACCCTGTGGCACAATTCTACTTTGTTCTATAGGTTGAGATTCTGTGGCAATTGGTTTGGGTTTTAGTTTTGGATCCCAGAGTTACAGAATCAGAAATCGTAGGGGTGGAGCCTACCAAGCTATGTTTCAACAATGCCTTTAGGTGATTTTGACAAGAATAACTATTTAGACAACAGTTTGAGAATACCAGCTTAGAGAAGAGAGGCTTGGACTCAACAACACAGGGTTGAAAAGCTGTGTTGTCTCTATCTTTCACTAACTGCAACTGTGAGTGAGTCACAACTTTTTCATGTTCTAATTGCCCTATCTGTGTAACAGATAAAATCAGGTTGCTACTTACTGCACAAGGAAGTTTTGAAACTAAGTATATGAAAGCTCCTCAAGTTCCTCAGGTAAGTCAATATGGTACTATCCATCCAAGGCAGTGATGATAATAATAATCCTCTTCCTGTTTTGATCAAGCTACTCCAACCTGTTATGCGCACAATGAATTCTAAGCCTGTTTCTCAAGGTTCTAGTCACCCCACCCAACTTGGTGGTACTGGTTATTTTAATAAGGTTCTTTTTTTTTTTTTTTCCGCCCTTCATTTAGTCATTAACAAGACCTTTAAGCAGTACTATTATCATTTTTCCTGAAAAAGTGTATTAAATATCAGTCCCTCTCATTTGCTCTGAAGCACTCATTAGTCCACCCTCCTTCCTCTCCTTAAGAATTCCTCTTAGAAGGTATGCATGTATGTAAAGAATACAGACCTACACAGGACTTGTAGGTAAATGCAAAAAACACCCATGAACATTTACTGATTACGTTCCTTGTGTTTTCTCTTCTACCACTTATTTTATTGAGAATAACATCCTTAACTCTCCCATGATAAAACATGATTTTATCAGGGCAATATAATCCTATTGTCTGCAGATACTATTCCAGACACTGAATTAAAAGTACACCAGCATCCATCCAATCATTTTTTCTTTTCATCTATTAAACTCATTTATGCTGAAAGAAGCTACTGTTGGTTTAAAAAACAAAAACAAAAACAACTCTTCATTTTGAGCTTGCCTTGCCCCCTTTCTCCTTTTTTTTTGGCAAGTGGCACAGATAATTCCATGCAGGTCAAACATGCTGTGGTCTTCACATCTTCAGTCTTCAATTACATCCAGTGTTTCAGAAACACTGTTATAGGAAAACAGATGTTAATGCCCCCACACTTGTACCTACTTTCAGTGACAGCTAAGCTTAGCCAGTCTCCATTCATAGCTATCTGTCTCATTTCCAAAACATTTCACCATCTTGAGGGCATTCAAAAGGATGAGATTTTGGAGAACTCTCTTAAGACCAAATCAATATTGTACAAATTATCTAATAAGATAACCACCCAAAACCCAATGCAACAGAAGCCTGAAGACTCACCAATGACAGGGTTGCTATTTCTGTGAGCTGGTTTAGGGGGAGGGATAGGGGGCTGCTTGGTAGGGACCGTATGGGTCAGGCTTGGGGTAGCAGTAGTGTTAATGCTGACAGGATCAGCAGGCAGAGTCCTGGGTGCTGGGAAAGGGGTGACAGAGGAATTAATATTCTTTGCTAGGTTCGTGGCAACGGTGGTGGCAGTAGGCACTGTGGTGGTGGAGGCGGAAGTGGAGGAGATGGACCTTGTCGTGCTGCTGGAAGAAGTGGCCTCCTTTGATTGCCTTTCACTTGCTTCGTGAGAAGAGGACAAGGGTCGTTTTGGGGGAAGTAAAGGTTGTTTGGATGCATTCTCAGGAACAGAGTCTGCTTCAGAATCCGGCTGGCTTCCAGTTGAGCCTGTATCATAACAGATGTGATTTAAGAAGGCAGAGATCAAAAACAAAGAGACTGAAGAAGCTGGTTTATCTACAGATTTATCTTTAATTTTAACCATTATTCAATTTACAGCTTACAGACAATAGTTCCCAAAGTTTCCCAACCTCAATGTACTTTTGCAATCTGGCCCTCTTCTAATCAGTTAAGAGGCTCACTAGTGGATTGTTCATATAAGAGCTTACTGAGGGAGTTCTGGCAAGATGGCAGACTAGGCAGAAAGACTGCACAGACCCTCTTCAACAAAGAAAAGGGAAACCAGTTAACATAGACACAGAAGATAACCCTGGACCCCTGAGCCTTGAAGGGAAGGATATAGAAGTGGACTAAACCCCAACTAGCAGAAGAATTTGCGTGAAAATACCAAAAAAGGAGAGAGAAGGAGCTGCAGTCTGGCATTGATCCTGGTCAATCCTGATGGGACAGACAGCTTGGAGATTCTCGAGTGGTGGTAGG